GTGGGGAACAAGGACATGGACATGGGAAACCAGGAATGGGACTGGGATGTGGAGGAATGGGATGGGGATGAGGGGATGCTGGGTCCAGGATACAGGGGGACTAGGACCAGGATGTGGGGGACCAGGACAGGGACATGGGACACCAGGACAGGGACACAGGGGCACTGGGACCAGGACAGGGGTTTGGAGGGACAGGGACATGGGGACCCAGGACAGGGACATGGGGGCCAAGGACAGGGACATGGGCACCCAGGACAGGGACAGGGGGGCCAAGGACAGGGACATGGGGACTCAGGACAGGGATATGCAGGCCAAGGACAGGGATATGGGGACATGGGATAGGATGACATGGGTTGCAGCCCTGGGATGGGGTGGAACAGGACAGAGGGGAATGGGACCAGGATGTGGGGACCAGGGACAGAGATGTGAGGGACCAGGACACAGACACAGGGACACTGGGAGCAGGACAGGTGCGTGGAGGGACAGGAACACAGGGGAACTGAACTGAGACCTGGGGGAACCAGGACACAGAACACCAGGTCAGGGACAGGGGAACTGGGACAGGGACATAGGGAAATGGGGGGGGACACAGGGACAGGAGAGAGGGACAGGGACGTGGAGGACCAGGACAGGGACGTGGGTGACAGAGACAGTAACAGGGGCACTGGGACCAGGACAGGAGGATACCAAGATCAGGACAGGGATGTGGGGGACCAGGACACAGGGGAGCGGGGCAGAGATAAGGGGAACTGGGGCAGGGATGTGGGGGACAAAGGACCAGGATGTATGAGGATCCTGAGACTGTGACAGGGACACTGAGACCAGGACGTGGGTGACTCAGGCATGGATCCAGGGGACCGAGGCAGGGACAGGGATGTGAGGGACATGGGAGCACCAGGACCAGGACAGGTGTGTGGAGGGACTGGGACAGGGACATGGGGGACAAGGACCAGGATGTGAGGGGACACAGGGACAGACACAGAGAAAAAGGACAGGGACATGGAGGAATGGGACAGGGACACGGGGCACTGGGACCAGGACTGAGGTGTGGAGAGACCAGGACAGGGACAATGGGGCCATGACATGGGGAACCAGGACATGGGTCCAAGGGACCAAGGCAGGGACATGGAGGGACTGGGACAGGGATGTGGGGGAACAGGGACCAGCATAGGGACAGGGGGGACAGGGACAGGGGGGCATCAGGGCAGGGACAGGTGTGTGGAGGGACAGGACACGGGGGCAGTGTCAGGTGCACTGGGACCAGGTCAAGGGGTCTCAGGGCAGGGACATGGAGGATTTCGGGCAGGGGGGACCAGGATGGGGACACAGACCCAGGGGAACAGGGCAGGGACATGGAGGGACTGGGAGACACAGCCACGAAGGGACTGGGACCAGGATGTGGGGAAAACCAGGACCGGGACACCAGGACCAGTACAGGTGGGTGGAGGGACCGGGGCAGGGACAGAGGGGAATGTGACAGGGATACTGGGACCAGGACGTGGAATGGACAAGGCGATCAGTCACTTGGGAGGGATCCCACAGCTGCTCCCCCTCCCCCCCACAGGCGTCAAGGAGGAGCCGCTGAAGGAGGAGCCAGTGGAGGTGAAGACCGAGCCCGACGGCATTCCCGGTGTTCCCGGCGTTCCTGACACTCCCGGCGTCCCCGGTCGCGGCTCTGAGCGGCGCTTGCCCCGCGAGGGCTGGAGCGGAAGCCCCCCGCCCCCCGCGCTCCCCGAAGTGGCGCTGGGCGAGCTGGGGGGGCGGCAGGACCCGCTGGGCTCTGACCTCCCGAGCCTCCTCCTGGAGCCCGATCCCGAGCCGGGCCGGCTGAGCCGGGCCGAGAGTCCCCCCGGGGCGGGGGGGCCGAGCGGGACCCTCGAGAGCCCCGAGCTGAGCCTGGCGCGCTCCGGCGAGCGGCTGGTGCGGGAGGTGCGGGAATTCCGCCGGGAATACGCCGAGAGCCGGCGGGAGACCACGGCGGTGCTGCGGGGCATCGCCCAGGCGCTGGCAGCGCTCGGCCGCAGCCTCTCCGACATCCGAGACCTCTACCTCCGGGACAGGGGGGTCCCCAGGCCCTGAGCCCCCCCCCCGCGCCACGCAGCTGGCTGTGTGTGCCCCCCGGGCCGGCGGGGACACCCTCACCCCTCCGTCCAGTGCCCACCTCGCAGCTTTTATTCTTAATTTTTATTATTATTTTTTCTTGGCCCCTCAGTCCCCACTCGAATAAAACTCGGAGGTGCCCCCCCGGCTGCCCCCCAGCCCCAGGATGTTCGAGGGGTTTTTGGGGGGGGTGGGGTTGCATCCCCGGGGGGGCTGCCTGGCTTTTCCCCCCACTGGAAGCAAAGGTGGTCCCAAATATCCCCCCACCCCGGTCCTGGTGATGGTTTGGGAGGGGGGTGGATCCCACCAGGAGCAACCATTGGGGTGACCCCCCTTGCCCCCAGAGGACCTGACCAGGAGAGGGGGGTGGATGGGGGAATTGACCCCTCTCCCAGCACTAAATTGGCCGTTTTCTCACCCAAAATGTGCCCAGGGGTGGTTTCGTGTCCTAATTTTCGAGTGGGACTGGCAGGGGCAGCGCTCTCAGGCTGGTTCATCCCAGCGGCTGATTTGGTGGGCCTGCACGTCCCAACAACATTCCGAGGTGGTGAAGCCCCGGGAGCAGAAGGAGTTTATGTCCCCCCACCTCTGACAGCTCCCGGGGGGACGGGGGGGTTCTGCCCCCCCATTCCGGAGCCACCAAACCGACACCGTGTGGGCACAAGAAGTGGTTTTATGCCAACCCTGGGGGGGGGCGAAGAGCCCCGGGGGGGGAATCCAGAGGTGGTCGTGAAGGGGGAACCGGCGCACGGCCCTCGGGGGACCCCCCTGGGGACCCACCCGTGGGTGCCCGGGTCCGTGGGCACCCAGAGGCGGGGGGGGCGGCCCCCCACAAAGGGCCCAGTGTGCGGGACAAGGGCCGCCCTGTGCCGCTGCCGCCACGTCCCCCCGCGCTGGGGCACCCCCCCAGCGCCTCGGGGGGAAGGGGGTCCCCAGCCCGGCCCGCGGCGGGTGCGGGGGTCCCCGGGGGGGCTCAGGCTCCGGGATAACTGGGCTGTGCCGGGGCGTAGGGCGGGGGTGCTGCAGAGGGAACACACGGGGGGGTCACCCCCTGCCAGCCCAGCGGGCCCCCCGCGGGACAGGGGCGTCCCCGCGCCCCCCCCGTTGCTCACCTGTGGGGTTGTAGACGGGGGGCCCCGAGGGGTACACGGGGTACTGGGCGGGCCCAGGAGGGGGGTACATGGCCATGGGGGTGAAGCCGGGCTGGGGGGGCGCGGGGCCGGCTTTGGGGTCCACGGGGAACGGCGCCGGGGGGGCCGCGGGGGGGTAGCTGGACAGGGGGATCTCCGGGCCTGCGGGAGAGATGGGGGGGCTGCGGCACCCTGGGCACGGCGGCGGTGCCCAGGGGTGTCCGTGCCCCTCGGGAGGCGGGTGGGCACTGGCGTGGTACCAGCAGCACCCCCACCCCCCAGTGCCCGAATCTCCCCCCTCCTGCATTTCTCCAGGCTCCACAACCTCGGCCCCCCAAGTCCCCACACACGGTACCCTCAGGACCCTCCTGCCCCCCCCCGTCCCTGCAGCTCCCCCCTCCTGCACCCCAACCCCCCTGCACCCCTCCAGCCCCTCCCAACCTCCTCCCGTCCCTGCAGCGACCCCCCTGCACCTCCCACCCCTGCACCCCCCCGCACTCCCAATTCCCCTCTCCATCCCTCCAGGCCCCCTCAACCCCCTCTGCCCCCCTGGACCTCCAGGACCCTCCTGCACCCCCCCTCCTGCACCCTCATCCCTCCAGACCTCTCCCCAACACCCCAAATCCCTCCTGCTTCCCTCCAGCCCCCCCAGTTCCTTCAGGACCCTCATACACCCCCTTCTGCACCCCCCCACCCCTGCACCATCTCGTCCCTGCAGCCCCCCCCATACCCCAATTCCCCCCCATGGCCTGGACCTCCGGGCCCTTCCTGCACCCCCCCCGCACCTCCCCCTGCACCCCCCATCCCTGCTACCCCCACCCCCCCAGGACCTCTCAACACCCCAAGTCCCGCCTGCTTCCCTCCAGCCCCCCCAGTTCCTTCAGGATCCCCCTCCTGCTGCACCTCCCCACTCCTACACCCCCCACCATAAGCCCTCTCTTCCTGTCCCGTCAATTCCCCTCCCCCATACCTCCAAGACCCTCCTTCACCCCCCCCTCCTTCCTCCTGCCCCCTCCAGTCCTACACTCCCTCCACAGCCCCCTTGCCGCCTGTTCTGCCCCTCCCCCGAATCCCCGCTGTATCCCTCCCGCCCCCCAATTCCCCTGCCATGAGGGTACCTACGGGACCTTCATGCATCCCCCATTCCTGCCCCCCCATTCCTGCCCCCCCACTCCTGCCTCCCCATTACTGCCCCCTCATTCCTGCACCCCCCATTCCTGCACCTGCCCTTCTTGCACCACCCCATTCCTGCACCACCCCCATTCCTACACCCCCCCATTCCTACACCAACCCCTTCCTCCTGCACCCCCTCGTCCCTACAGGCCCCCCCTCCCAGTTCCCCCCGATATTCCCCCGGACCCCCCAGTACCTCCCCCACCCCTCCAGGACCCCCCTGCCCCCCCCGGCTCCTGCTCCTCCCACTCCTCCCCCTCTCCTCCATCCCCCTCCTCCTGCACCTCCAGGACCCCCCTGTACCCCCCACTCATCCTCCCTCCCTCCTCCTGCCCCCCCTGCCTCCCGTGCCCACCGTGCCCCACCTGCCAGGGGGGTGGGCGGGGCCCGGCGCCGCTGGTACAGGTAGCAGCAGGAGCACATGAAGCAGCACACGATGGTGGTGACGATGGCGATGAAGAGCACCACGGCCGAGGCGATGCCTGCGATGGTCTTGGGGCTGCGGGAGGGACCCCCGAGCGTGGGCACGGGGGCCTGGGGGGCACTGCCAGCACCCTCACCCCAGCCAGTGCTCGGTGGTGTTGCCCAGGGACACTACCAGTGCCCAGTGCCCAGGGACACTGCCCAGAGACACTGCCAGTGCCCAGTGACCAGTGACACTGCCCAGTGACACTGTCAGCATCCAGTGACCAGTGATCAGTACCAATGACAGTGATCAGTGACCAGTACCAGGGATACTTGCCCAGGGACACTGCCAGTGCCCAATGCCCAGTACCAGTGCCCAATGTCCAGTGACACTACACTGGCCAGTGACACTGTCAGCACCCAGCACCCAGTACCAGTGCCCAGTGCCCTGCACCCAGTGCACAGCAACCAGTACAAGTGCCCAGTACCAGTGCTCAGCAGCCAGTGTCCAGTGCCCAGGGCCCAGCATCCAGTACTAGTGCCCAGCATCCAGTACCAGTGACCAGTACCCAGTATACATGTCCAGTAGCAGTGACCAGTACCCAGTATACATGTCCAGTAGCAGTGACCAGTACCATTGCCCAGTGCCCAGCACCCAGTCCCAATGCCCAGGGCCTAGTACCAGTGCCCAGGGCCCAGTAACACAGTACCAGTGCCTAGCACCCAGCACCACTGCCCAGCACCCAGCACCACTGCCCAATGTCCAGCACCCAGTGCCCGGTGTCCAGCACCCAGTGCCCCTGCCCAGTATCAGTGCCCAACACCAGTGTACAGCACCCAGCGTCCAGCACCCAATGCCCACCATCCAGTAACCAGTACCAGTGCCCAGTGCTCAGCACTAACACCCAGCACCACTGCCCCATGACCAGCACCCAGTACCACTGCCCAGGACCGATGCCCAGCACCAGCACCCAGCACCAGCACCCAGCTCCCAGTCCCAGTGCCCAGAACCCAGTCCCAGCCCTCAGCACCAACATGCAGTCCCAGTCCCCAGCACCCAGCCCCCCAGTCCCAATGCCCAGCATCCAGTCCCAGCGCCCAGTAGGAGCCCCCAGTGCCCTGGGGGTGCCCCCCGTGCCCCCACAGTGGCACCTGAAGGCGAGGCAGTGTCGCTGCTGGCGCTCGGTGAGCAGTCGCAGGGGGTCCCTGCAGCAGTAGCGGTGGTGGCAGGTGCCGCAGCAGAAGGTGAAGAACTCGCAGTCGAAGCTCGGGTGCCACGAGCCGTTCTTGTCCACGTACCATAGGCAGTCCTCGCCCCCGGCCACTGCGGAGGGTCACCTGTCACCGTGGCCTCGGGCCACCCGGCCACCCCGCCCCGGGGGCACTGGCAGCGCCACACACACCTCCACCCCACGTGGCACAGCCTGGACCCTACCGTGTCCTGGGCCACTGCTCCCCCTGCACCCCGGTCCATCCTGCCCTGTGCCCACCCCTGGGCTCCGGTCCATCCTGCCCCAGGGATCCTTAAAATGTGCCCCTATGTGACCTCAATATTCCGCTCCATCCTGCCCCACGGACCCCCAAACTGTGCCCCTACGTACCCCCAAAACCATCCTCCCTCCTACCTCACGGACCCCCAAACTGTTCCCCTATGTACCCCCAATATTCTGCTCCATCCTGTCCCACGGACCCCTCCCTCCTGCCCCACGGACCCCCAAAATGTGCCCCTCTGTCCCCCCACTCCTGTCCCTGTGCCCCCCCCCCCCCCCCCACTCTGTCCTGCCCTCCACCCCTGCAGACCCCTTTCCATGCCACGCAGCTCCGGGACCCCTCCGGTCCCCTGAGCCCCCCCGTCCCCCCTCCCGGATGCTCCAGTGGCACCTCCCGTCCTATTTCTGGCCGGAGCCACCTGTTTTCCCAGAAATAGCCGCGGATCCAGGCCTGGGGGCGGCGGGAGGCACCGGGACAGCGGGCGGGGAGCCGCGGTCGTGGGCTTCCTTCCTCCCGCGGGGGTCTCCCAGGGGGCCGCGCACCCCAAAAAGAGCCCCCGGCAGCTCAGGGCTGAGTGGGGAAACTGAGGCACGGGGGGAGCGAGCGTGGGAACCCCCCAAATTCCCCGGCGTGGGCATCCCGGCTCCGTGCCCACTGCTCCCGGGGACCGGCGGCTCCCGGGGACCCCGAAAATGGGAAATGGGGGGTTGTTCTTCGTGGGGGACGCAGAGCCCGGGGGGGCACGTTGGTGAAAGGGTGAAAGGGGCCGCGTGTGGTGAGTGACGATCACGGCCGGTGGCCTCACCGGGACCCCCCGGTCAGGGGGGTGGCCCCGGGTCCCCCCCAGCGGGAACCCCCCGGTCACAGGCGGTGTCACCGCGTCCCATCGCAGGGTGGCACCGGGCTCCCCCTCCCCGGGCCCCCATGTCTCACCCATCGAGGTGGCCATGGCCACCAGCAGGGTCCCGGCCAGGGGCCACCTGCCCCTGGGGCCACCGGGCCCCATCGCGGGGCCGGGCCCGCTGTCCCCGCTCAGCACTGCCCGGGGCGGGGGCGAAGGCTGCGCTGCGGCACCGGGGCCTCTCCTGGTGCCTCCCGGTTCCTCCCGGGGCCGCGGGGCCGCTCCCGGTGCCTGCCGGTGTCTCCTGGTGCCTCCCGGTGCCTCCCTGTGCCTCCCGATGTCCCCTGGTGCCGCCCGGTGCCTCCCGGGGCCGCGGGGCCGCTCCCGGTGCCTGCCGGTGTCTCCTGGTGCCTCCCGGTGCCTCCCTGTGCCTCCCGATGTCCCCTGGTGCCGCCCGGTGCCTCCCGGTGCTGCTGTCTCCCGGTGCCGCAGTGCTGCTCCGAGTGTCCCCCGGTGCCTGCCGGTGCCCCTCGGCGCGGGGCGGGCGCAGGCCCGCAGTGACGCCGCAGCCGGCGGCGCTCGGTCGGTCCGTGCCCGGTGTCCCCCCCCACGCGGCACCGCCCCCCGCCGCAGCCACCGGCCCCCGCCCGCCCCCGGCGGGAGGAGCGGCCCCGCCGGAGCCGGGCGCGGCCGGGGGATGAAGAGATGCCCTGAGTGGTCCCTCCGGCATCTTCCGCCACTCCCCCGCCCTCCGTGTCTCTCCTCTGTCTGCACTCCGTCCTTTCACGGGCACCCCTTCCCCCACACCATTTCCCGCAGCCAACCCCTTCCCTACCCCCTGCACCCCAACAGTTCCCCTCCCATCATCCTTCCTCCACCCCACTCCAGCCCTGCGCCCCTTATTTCCCTCCTCTGCACCCCATCCCTTCCCTGCACCCCTTCTCCCACCCCATCCCACACCTGCACCCCTTATTTCCCTTTCCTGCACCCCATCATTTCCCCTCCTAGCACCCCTTCTCCCACCCCATCCCACACCTGCACCCCTTATTTCCCTTTCCTGCACCCCATCATTTCCCCTCCTAGCACCCCTTCTCCCACCCCAGCCTTTCCCTGAATCCCTTATTTCCCTCCTTCTGCACCCCCTCCCCTGCCCCCCATCCCTGCCCCCCATCCTTCTCCTCTACCCCTTCCCCTCCCTGAGCCCCGTTTCCCAGCCCCCCATTCCAGCCACGCTCACTGGGTGCTGGGTTGGCACAGCTGGACCTGGGGCACCCCCCTGGGCACTAGGGAACCCCCTTGGCACTTGGGGCACCCCCCTGGCACTGGGGGCATCCCACCACTTCCCTGAGCACAGCTAGAGACCAAAATCCCAGAGCCCCAACCTGGCAGCACCAACTGTCCCCAGGGATGGGGATCCCGGGAGGGGACAGGGCTGGGGACACGGAGGTGACACATCTCGAGAGTGACACATCCCAAACCCCACCTTTATTAGAGACCAGAACCCCAAACTGAGGATCGTGGTGACATCAGGGTCACAGTGTCACCATCAGCACCACGGTCAAGGTGTCACCGTCACCATCAGGGTGACGGTGTCACCATCAGCATTGGGGTCACAGTGTCACCATCAGCACCGGGGTCACAGTGTCACCAGTGTCACCGTCAGCACTGCGGTGCTGGTGCCACTGAGGCCACACAGGGTGGGGGCCAGCCCGTGCCACCCCACTGTGCCTCCCCCCCGTGTCCCCACATCGGTGTGGGGGGTCCCTGGGCCAGCCAGGCTGTGCCCCCCAGCCCGGTCTGGGGGCTCTGCTCACACTTGTGTGACGATCTCACCGTTCTCAGGCACGTAGAGCTGCACGGGCACCCCGGGCACCGAGCGCCGCAGCATGGGGGGGACCTGGGGGGCACGGGGAGCACGTGGGTGCCGGCACCCCACACTGTACTGGGCACCCCACTCTGTGCTGGGCACCCCCCAGGGTACCCCCCGGGGCACCTTCACCCTGTGCTGGGCACCCTGGAGCAGGACTGGGGTCCCTGCCGGTCCCTGGTGCAGGACCAAGACCCTAAAGGGGCTCCTGGGATGGGACTGGGTCCTACAAGGGCCCTTGGGGCAGGACCACGGTCCCAGGAGGGTCCTTGGGGCAGGACTGGGGTCCCACAAGGGTCTCCGGGGAAGGACCAAGACCCTAAAGCAGTTCTCGGGGTGGGACATGGGTCCCACAATGGTCCCTGGGGCACAACCAGGACCTTAAGAGGGTTCCTGGAGCAGGATGGGGTCCCATATGGGTCCCAGGGGCAGGAGCAAGACTCTAAAGGGGCGCCTTGGCACCCCCTGGGGCAGAGGCTGGGGGGGTTGTGGGGGCACAGCTGTAGGTCCCCACTTGCCCAATGTTGCTGTGCCATGGGGAACCCCCCCCAGTGGGACCAGGGAGAAGGGGGGGACTGGCTCCCAAAATGTCAGTAGGGACCCCCCTGCCCAGGGGTACCACAGTGCTGCCCCCGGGACCCCCGTGGGTCCAGCTGGTGGGCCCCTGGGTATGACCAGAGGGACTCACTGGGACCCCAATCCCACCCCAGGGACCCCCCCTGCCTGCCCCAGGGACCCTTGTAGGACCCCAGTCCTGCCCCAGGGACCCTCGTGGGACCCCCATCCTGCCCCTGGGACCTTTGTAGGACCCCAATCCCACCCTAGAGACCCCCTTAAGGTCCTGATCCTGCCCCAGGGACCCTTGTGGGACCCCAATCCTGCCCCAGGGACCCTTGTAGGACCCCAGTCCTGCCCCACGGACCCTCGTGGGACCCCAATTTCTCCCCATGGATGCCCTCAGGACCCCACATCCACTCTGGGGACCCCACCAGAGCCAGACATCACCTGACCCCACCTCAGGGTGACCCTCCCCCCTCAAGGCAGCCCCCCGGGGGTCTCCCCCGCCCCCAGCCCCCGTGTCCTACCTGGACTCGCGAGAGCACGGCCCGGGCGAGGGGCCCGTCCCCGGGGGTCCCTCCGGGGGGTCTCCCGAGGGCCCCCTCCCTGTCCAGGGAGTGCGGCCGCGCCCCCCGCAGCCGCGCGCGCTGGTGCCACGAGCGGAGTTCCTCGGTGACGGCGGCGCGGGAGAGCCCCCGGGCCCCGCCGCAGTCCTTGAGCGAGGGGGTCCGGACGATGCGGGAGCGGGAGGGCACGAGGCGCTGGTACCGCAGCGGGGCCAGGTCCTGCTCCAACAGGAGCCCCGAGGGGGGCGGCTGGACCCGGGGGGGGTCCCGCGGGCGAGGCCCGGGCAGGGGCAGGGACGCGGCGAGGGACCCGTCGGGGCCGGAGCCGCCCGGGGAGGGCGCGCGGGACGCGCTGGACACGCTGGACACGCTCTCGGCCGATCCCGAGAGGAACGAGGGGCCCGCGGGTGGCGGGAATGACACCGTACAGTGCGGGGGGCGGCGGCGGGGCCCGGGGGGGCGGCCCCGGGGCTCCAGGGGCGGCCAGGGTGGATCCAACCTGGGAAAAGAGAGGGATCACCCTGGGAAAAGAGAGGGATCGCCCTGGGGAGGGGACAGGGATCCAACCTGTGGAGGGGACAGGGATCCATCCTGGGGAAAGGAGAGGGATCCACCCTGGGCGAAGGACATGGATCCATCCTGGGGAAAGGTCATGGAACCCCATGGGAGGAGAGTGGAGCTAATCTCATGGCACTGGAGCTCCAGCCTCCCATGGGATTATCTCCATCCTCCCTGTGGGGCCAAGTTCCAGCCTCCCATGGGGCTGTCTCCAGCCTCCTCCCATGGGCTATCTCCATCCGTCCTGTGGGATTTTCTCCAACCTCCTCCCCATGGGCTGAGCTCCATCATCTTCACAGGGTTATTTCCATCCTCTTTCCTATGGATTGAGCTTCATCCTCCCCATGGTATCCTCTCCATCCTCCCCATGGGATCCTCTCCATCCTTCCCATGGCATCTCTCTGATCCTCTCCATGGAATCTCCTCCATCCTCTCCCCACGGGTGTCCCCCCCCTCCTTCCCCCATGTCCCCTGCCGTGCCCAGGCCGTACCTCCGGGCTTGGCTCTGTCCCCTCCGTGCCGGTGTCTCCGGGGTGCCGGGAGCACTGGATCCCCCCTGTCGGCACAGCACCAGGGTCCTCATGGGGACAAACCGGTAGGGAGGGTCCCCCGGCCTGGCCCCCAGGGGGGCTACAGGGTCGGGGCTGCCGGGGGTGGCCGGGGGGGACCCCAGGGGGGACCCCAGGTAGCAGCGGGAGCTCCGGGTTTCCCCATTCCCGGTGTTGATTCCAGGATTTCTGCCCCTCTCATAGGGTCTGTCCAGGCTGGTCTCCCGCCAGGGGCTGGGGGAGGATGGGGGCGGTCCCGACCCCTCCTCCTCCTCCTCAGTGGCGTCCTTGGGGGATGGGGACATCCGTGGGGTGGCAGGTCCTGGTGGCCGTGTGTCCTCTGTGGGAGAGAGGGAGTGCTGAGATGGAGGGGACACAGGAAGGGATGGGATGGGATGGGATGGGATGGGATGGGATGGGATGGGATGGGATGGGATGGGATGGGATGGGATGGGATGGGATGGGTGGAGGGGACACGAGGGGGATGGATGGAGGGGACAGGTGGATAGTTGGAATGGAGGGAACACGCAGGGAATTGGGATGGAGGGGACACACACAGTGGGATGGGATGGAGAGGAACATGAGGGGAATGGGATGGAGAGGACATGAGGGGGGTGGGATGGAGAGGAACATGAGGGGGATGGGATGGAGAGGAACAGGGAGGGATGGGATGGAGGGAACATGAGGGGAATGGGGTGGAGGGGAACAGGGAGGGATGGGATGAGGGGGACAGAAGGGAAATGGGATGCAGGGGACACGTGAAGCGTTTGGGATGGAGAGGACACACAGGGTGTACTCCCATTTCTGCCCAGACCCCCCCACTCCCTTCCACTCCCTTACCCTCCTCCAGCAGGCCCGTGTCAGACAGGGAGCTCTCCTCGGAGCCGCTGAGCTCTGTGGGGCCGGAACAGGAACAGGGGAGAGAGGGACGGGGGAAAGGGGGCACGGTGAGAGCAGAGCCGGAGCCGCCGCCGGTGCCCAAACTCTCCCACGGCCCCGCCACCTCCCAGCGCGTCCCCGCAGGGCTCCGCTCACCCCTTTGTCCCTCCCTCCCTCTTCCCCTCCCTTCCTTCCTCCCTTCACCCACCTGTCCCGACACGCTCCGGTACCGGCCGGGCCGGCTCTGCCCAGCCGGGCAGCTCCCAACCTGCTCCCAGCCTGCTCCTGGCCTCATCCCAGCCTGTTCCCAGCCTGTTCCCCGCCTCATCCCAGCCTGATCCCAATCCAATCCCAGCCTCATCCCAGCCTCATGCCCGGGCTGGG